CCCAGTGGGAATGCCTGAAGGGGAGGCCCAGGAATTTTTACAGGCTCTCCTGGAGATTTGGTGTGAGGGAGGGGACTGGGAATGCCTGGAGCTCTCCCGGGGGCTGGAGGCACAGGAGATGCTCTGGGCTTTGGCCAGGACTCCCTTGCCCAATGTGTCAATCTCCTAGAGGCTCTGGAAGGCTCTGTGAGTCCCGCTTCATTGGAGAAATGGAATCCCTTCTGGTTCGTGAGAAAAATCTTCTGCACTGGGGCTGCCTTGATCAAATTTCCATTCAGGAGCCCAGAGATCCACTGACACTCGCCTTGCAATTTTTGTATCCTTCCTTTAAGGAAAAAGGTGATGCTTATAAGCTATGGCTGAGGGCTGAGAACATACTTCCAAAGATAAATGATCATTGAGACCATAAGGCGTTCTGAGTGGCAGTTGTCATGTGACCACCCTGAGGTCAGCACATGACTGAGGGTACAGGTGCAGGACCTGTGCGGTGGGTTTGGGAGGGCGGAATGGGATGGAGTGAAGGTCCAAGCCAGGGTGGCTAGCCGCCCCTGCTGCTGCTGCTGCTAATAACCCTGTGGCCTGAGCAGGCCATCACACCCACTGAGCCGCTGGCCTCTCTGAGCCTGCCTCCTCCCCTAGAAAATGGGGATAAGATTGCCGACCTCACAGGGCTATTATGGGGATCTGGTGAACGGAGGTTTGCTGCAGGGATGAGCAGTGTCACCGGGCCTCCTGTCCCCATGGCTACATTCCATCGGGGCAAGAAATGGTTCTACAAATGGTCCTGGGCCGACCCCAACTGCTTTCAGGTCTCCCTCCGGAGTTCCAAAAAACTGCGGGCCTCTCTGGACTCTGTTCTTTCTGTCTTATGCTTTCCGTCCCTCTTCCAAGTGGCAGTGGGGAATGCAGAGAGAGTGCTAAGTGCACAAAGTGTTATAAATAGCAGCAACCACAGCCTCCCTCCACTGCAAACTCACTAAGTGCCAGGTGCTGTGCTAGAGACTTAATTGCATGAGTCTCCATCCTTTCCTAAAAAGGTGGGCATTATCACTAATATCCCCACTTTATAAATGAAGAAACTGAGGCTCTGAGAAGTGAAAACTTATGTCTGGCAAGAAGCGATGAAGCCAGAATTAAACTAGGTCTGTGGGACTCCAGGCCAAACCTCTTTGACCCCTGCCTTTTACTGCCTCCTTGAACCACTTGTTCCTTTCGGGGAGCTGGGGTGATGTCTCCACCCCTTGCAGTGAATCAAGGACTGGGTTTCTAGTCTGTATTTCATATGGACAAGATTTTGGAATGTTTTTGAGGATGGGGAGAAGCAGGTAATTGTCTATGGCTGGGGAAACGTATTTATCACTATTAAAAAATCGACAAAACCCCTAGTTTTGCCAAACTCAGGGTTGCCATTTTGGCCTCTGGGAAGGAGATGTTGGCGATGGAGGCAGAGGCTGCAGTCGTCTCCAGAAGCCCTGCGGACGCCTTGATTTTGACCCAGTGAGTCTCATGTGGTCTTCTGAGCTCCAAAAACTATGAGACAATAAATTCAGGCTCGGCGCAGTGGCTTTCGCCTGGAATCCTAGCACTTTGGGAGGCCAAGGTGAGAGAACTGCTTGAGTTCTGGAGTTCAAGACCAGCCTGGGCAACAGAATGAGACCCTGTTTCTACAATTAAAAAAAAAAATTAGCTGAGCGTGGTGGTGTGTACCTCTAGTCCCAGTGACTCAGGAGGCTGAGGCGGGAAGAACACTTGAGCCCAGGAGGTCAAGGCTGTGGTGGGCCATGATAGTGACACTACACTCCAGTTGGGTGATAGAGCAAGACACTGTCTTCAAAATAAATAAATAAATAAAATAATAATGATCACGAATTTGTATTGTTTTAAGCCACTAAATGTATGCAAGTATGTGAAAGGAGGAAATTAACACAGCCTCCAAGGCAACTTTCCAGAAGGAAAGCATTTCTCTCCTGCACTCTGCAGGCTTTGGTTTCTCTCTCGTACCATGCCTCTCAACCTTGCCATTCCCTCACTCCCGGTGGGTGTCTCGGGGACCCGTCCATCTCTCTCCATGCCACTCTTTCCCAGGCCCTGCAGTGTTTCATTGCCAGTATAGCTTCATCTGTCAGGATTAGGGCTCCTGGCCGGCCGACTCAGAGGCGGTTCAGGCTGCATTAATCCTCAATTAAAACGTTAATCAAAATGGATCCAACTATTAGCCTGGCCCGGGTCCTGGCATGTTAGATTTCTGAGAGCTGCTGTGCCCTGGTGGAGAATCTGTCTTTCTTAGCCACCTACCGTCTGTTCTCGCCATAGTCCCACCACCCTGGGCCTTGGCCCAGCCTCCTGAAAGCTGGGGCCCAAGTTCCTGGGGAGATTATGCGCTGGGAGCTGGGCTCTTCCCTCCATCCTTCACTTGCCCCCAAATGAGAAAAAGTGCCACTGTCCCTCCCCGCTATAAAAAAGACAGGCTGCCTCCGGAGCCTCCCTGCTGTGCTGCAGGCAAGCAAAATAACACCAAATGCACGTTTACGTTTGCCTTCCTCCATGGGGAGGTGTTTGGGGGACTGGAGCCAGAAGATCCTTTTCTCTTTGCCTCTTTATAGCTCAAAATTAAGCAGAGAAGCAGGCTTGGGGGAGCAGTGGGGACCTCGGGACGGCAGGAAGGGAGACACCTGCTTACCGGAGTCCTCTGGAGGGAGAGCACGATTGGACCTTCCTGGGGAGGTGTGGGTGTGAGACTGAAGACTCACCTCAGGGCAAGGGACGGTCTTAGGCACAATTCAGATCCTATTCGTAGCAAAGTCACTTCATTTCTGATTTTGTTAATCAAATACGGTCTGCTGGATGACAAAAATGGTCCACAGCGATGGAGTGCTTCAGCTAGATTCTTCGCCTCTCCCTTTTTATTAATTCTACTTAAAGGGGCTTTACCAGCTGCCATTTTTCACCCAAGGGCTCCATTTCTGGGCTTAATGGATCAACCAAGAGTAGATTCCTGTACTCCTAGACCTCTAGCAACAGGCAATGTTGACTCTTCATCAACATTGGAAAGCAGGGTGGAGAAAGGACAGCTGAGCCAAGGTACCTACTGAGGCTCCAGGAGGTGAGTTCCTGGGAGCTGGTTTGAGTCACTTAGCCCTGTATCCAGCACACATCTCTTTGTTCTTCTGTTTCCTGAGGCATCTCCCTTCCCTCTTGCCAGAGCCCAGCTGTGCGTCTGGTGCAGAGAATTCAAAGTGGTGCTCAGATCTGTACCAACCAGGCTCCAGGACAAGCTTTGAGAAAGTCTTTGGGGATGGGGAGAAGCAAGTAACCTCTGCCTCCACTGTCACATCTCCCTCCCGGAGGCCAAAAAGGCAACCCCGAGTTTGGCAAAACTAGGGGTTTTGTTGATTGTTTTACTCCCACGGCTTGAGATCCCAGGCTGTAGGCTGTGAGCCTGGGCTCTCAGGTCTCAGGAGAAGAACCTAGATTGCCTCGTTTCCAGTGCGCTTGCAGTTCCCTGCAGGTTAGGAGTGTCCCATGACAGACATCTTTCCACTGGAACGGGCTGGCTTCGAGAATGACTGAGGAGGGTGATCCCTAGGGACCAGCGCTTGCCTGTTTTTCAAACACACCTTCCCTCCCTCCCCTCCTAGCAGGTGACTGCAGAGCTCCAAAAGCTGGAGGAGGCACAAGTAGAGCTCAGGTCTGGCAGAGCCTGAAAAATCCCCCAAAGAAGGACAGCATGCCCTAGCCACAGTGCCCACCGCATGGCCCCAGTCAGCAGTGCCAAACTTTTCTTGGACATGTGCTGCCGGTGAGGCTCTCCATAGGGACTCTGCCATCATGGGTATGGGGGTAGCAAATACACACTGATGAATAAACCTCTGCTCAGATTCATAGGGCAGGAGCTTCCCCCAACCCACAATGAATCAGACCAGTTCCTGCTCCCTCCTCTCACTTCCCCCTGTACTTATCTCAGGGAGTCAGCCAAGGGGGTGGGGGCGTATGTGTCTGTCTTCCTCTTCTATGTGTCTGTCATTTACCTGGGTAACTTTGGTGCCTGACACCCTTTAAGGACTTAATAACAGCAAGTGCTTAAGAAAATGCCTGCTGAATGCACAACTTAACTCATAAACCCCATTGGTGGGCACCTGCATTCCTCAGTAATGTTGGATCAGTGTTTCTCAACTCCTCCCCACCCTACCCCATCACCCGCCCCTAAGGAGCTTTGAAAAGATCTTTTCTTCCTATTCTAGAACCAATTCCAGCTTCCACGCCTCCCACCTTGAGAATGAATGCATTAGATGAACCAAGACTTCTGCCTATACACATGGGCTGCTACAGTTGGCCACCCCAGCAGTCTGCGACCTCCCAAGGGGGGGCCTGGGTCTTAATCCTTACTTCTCTCTAAGCTGCTTGAAGGGTGCCCCCATTCTATCCTGCCCCCATCCCATCCCTCTTCACTTCTCCCCAGGATAGCACCTCCATAAATGTTTGTGAACTGAATGAATGAGTGTTGAGCGCCTGGCATGATGAGCTGCTCATAATAGGTGCTCAACCGATCTTTGTCCAATCTATGAATGAATGAATGAACTTCACCCTTTCCTTCCAGAGGTTCCTCCAGGCTGAACCTCTCTCCCATATGGAAACCCTAGGGCTGAGACCACCACCTTCCTACCAGTTACTGGGGTGCCTAGTGAACTGTCTCAGTATCCCCAGCACGTAGCACACAGTAGGCGCTCAATAAATGCTTGTTATGTTCATACTTAATGACTGACTCAATCAGGCCCATGGTGGGGGTGGAGGGGGGTTCCATACCGTGTCTAAGGATGCAGTGAATGAGCAAGTGACAGACATCCCCCCACCCCAATCCCTAACTCTCCCTCCTCCCGGGATCCGGGGAGAAATCTCGGTCCAGAGCCGGGATGCGCCCCTGCCGGGGTCACCGCGGCGGCGAACGTCCCGGACTTCGCATCCCGGGGACCCCTTGGGAAGAACCGAAGCCCGATCTGCACCTTGGCCGTAGCAAGCGCGCTCCACGCCGCCACCAGCGGGGGCTCCCGGGTCCTCTGTCGCCCTGGCCTCCCCGCAGGCGGGTTTCGAGGCCCCCGCAGGGAGTTCAGGGCCACGGCCACGTGCAGCCGCCCCCGAGCCCCAGTTTGCAGGCTCGGGGTCCGGCCCGCGCTTCGGTGGCGCCCGGCGAGGCTGCAGCGCGCAAAGTTCCCACCTCAAGTTCCCGTCGCGGCGTCCCCGCCTCGGAGTTGGCCCGGCCGCGGCTTCCGTCCCCCGGCTGCCCACAGGTCCGGGGCAAGGACGCGAGAGGGGCCTGGAAGCCGCCCGGGGCGCCTGCTGTGCCTCCCGGAGCCGCCGCCAAACTTCGGTCCCCGGGCCCGGCTCAGCTCCCGCCCTCGGAGCCACGGCCGCCCCGTCTCTGCCTCCCGGTCCCCGCCGGGCTCCGAGTGCGCCGGGAGCGCGGCGCGGCAGCCGCCGAGGGAGGGAGCGGGGCAGGAGGCGGGACGGAGGGAGGGGACTGAGCGCTGGGCGGGGAGAAGGGGCGGGCAGCCGAGAGCGCGGCGCCGGGCCTTGCCCGGCTTCGGGACAGTGGCAGCGGCGCCACCGTCACGGGGCGTCCAGGCACCCAATCGGGACCCCGCACCTTGGATCCGGGGTCCTTGGCGCGCCTGCTGGATTGCGCTCCTCGCGGCACGTTCCTGAGCCCGCGTCCGGGAAGGCTCGTGCTATGCCCTCCCTTTCGTTGCCTTCTTCCCGGTCTGTTTTCCTAGGAGGGCCCACCCTGCGGCCCCTTCGCCTGCACGCGCCAGCCTTTAAGGTCCACGCGCTCCGCTGCCCTGGAGCTTCACGCACCAGGCGGCGCGGCAGCCTCCTCGGGTCGTGCGCCCTGTCAGCTTTCCCCGCGGTCCAAGTGCGCCGGTGGTGCCGGGTCCGGGCCCCTAGCAACACCGCCCCAGCGTCTACATGTGCCAGATATTAAAACCCCACTCTCCGCTGCCCCGGGGCCGCTCTCCACGCGCTTCCACATCCTGGGAACCACATGCGCCATGTCTCCTGCCTTTCCCTGGAAGTTCAAGCGCACCGCTGTCTCTGGGTCCCCTGCCCCCCTACCCCGGGCAAGTACTGCATCCTTAAGGCCCTCCACGCGCTGCTGCCCTGGAGCCGCACGCTCCAAGCAAGCTTCCACATCCTGGGGGCCACATATCGCGCGCCTTTTCTCGATCTCTTGAAGCAATGTTGCCCTTGGGCCCTTCCTGCCACTGCCACCCAGGGACCGCCAGCACCTTGCTGTGCCATATTCCTAGGGCCAGTACGCATCGTGCCAGGTGTTTGCCCTTCCAGTCCCGCGGGGCCAAGGTCCCAGAGCCCTCCCGGGCCAGCAAACCCGCATTTCGTCGTCCACTCCCGTGTCCGGTGCAGGGCACTTGGACCAGGTCCTGGGGTCTTGGGGTCTTGCGCCCAGTGTGGCCGCCTAGCCTCTGAGTTGGTAGGTTGCTGCACAGATGCTGGAGGTTGGGTTGGAGGGATCTATTGGGTTGGAGGGATCTGTGCTGCTGGCAGGGCTGGCCTCTTAGGGTCACTTGGCTTGCACTCCGTTCCTCTTTTCCTTTCTGTCTCTACTGCCTTTGCCCATCATCAGAGAACCAAGAAAGGACATGAAGAAACCCTGCTGCCTACCAGCCTGAGGCCTTCTGCTTAAGAGTGGGGCGCGGGTTAGGGAGTCGTGGGTGCTCATTGAGTGGGTTAGGGTTAACCCTAAGAAATGAGCGCAGGGCACACTAGCCTGCGCGGCAGTCCCAGCTACTTGGGAGGCTGAGGCAGGAGGAGCATAGCAGTTCCAGGTTATAGTGCGCTGTGATGGCACCACTGCATTCCAGCCTGAGTGACTGAGCTAGATCCAGCCTCTAAAACAACAAGAATAAAAACACTGGCTTACTGGTGAGGTGGAGGCCTGGACAGACAAGAATCTGCCTAAGGACCTGTTTCCAAGAGCTCACCTTCTACTGGGGCTTGGCAGAACTGGGAAACTGCTGAAATACGTGATTGCAGAATGAAGCCAGACAGGCTGCTTTCGATAGAATTATGGGGGAGGGCTCCTGTGGAGGTGATGATTACATGGAGCCCTGAGCCCAGAGAAGGAGCCCATCTCACAAGATGGGAAGAGAGCTTTCTAGGTGGACAATACATCAAAGTCACTGGCCTTCAAGCGGGAGAGAGGGAGGCAGGTCTGAGAAACAGCAAGGAGACCAACCAGCAGTGGAGGGGAGGGGCCCTAGTGGGGTGGGGTGGGCTTTCGTGGTCAGAGGGTCCCGGGATTACATATTGAGAAACACTCCTCTTGTGGTGGATCAGGCTTCTGCCTTCCTTTCCCATCTGAAAATTCTTTTTTTTTTTTTGAGACATAGTCTCCCTGTGTCTCCCAGGCTGGAGTGCAGGGGCATGATCTCAGCTCACTGCAACCTCCATCCCCCTGGGTTCAAGTGATTCTCCTGCCTCAGCCTCCTGAGTAGCTGGGACGACAGATGTGTACCACTATGCCTGGCTAATTTTTGTATTTTTAGTAAAGATGGAGTTTCACCATGTTAGCCAGGCTAGTTTTGAACTTGCAACCTCAAGTGATCTGCCAGCCTCAGCCTCCCAAAATGCTGGAATTACAGGTGTGAGCCACTGCTCACAGTCAGAAAATTGCTGTCTCTATCTTGTTTTTGAGACAGGGTCTGGCTCTGTCACCCGTTGGAGTGCAGTAGTGCAATCATAACTCACTGTAACCTCTAACTCCTGGGCTCTAGGGATCCTCCTGCCTCAGACTTCCGAGTAGCTGGGACTACCACGCACCACCATGCACCACTAATTTAAAACAAAATCTATTTTTTGCAGAGACAGGCTGGTCTGGAACTCCCAGGCTCAAGACATCCACCCACCTCGGCCTCCCAAAGTGCTGGGATTACAGATGTGAGCCACTGCACCTGGCCATGTTTCTATCTTTTTTACTTGCGTGTTATCTGTGTCCCCACTGGGGATCAAGCTCCATCAAGGCAAGGACTGTGTGCTGTCTCTCCCTTCTCCAGCAGCTTCCGCAGCTTCCACTCTGCTAGGCACATACAGAGCAGGCTGCTTAAATATTCCTGGAAATGATTCCTGGGGGAACTCAGGACAGTTTTCTGGAATAGATGTGACTGTCTCAGAGAGTCAGACTCCTCACTGATGATCACAGGGTGAGGATGCAGAGCAGGGGCTCTCAGAGTTTACTGTGCATCTGAATTCCCCTGAGGGCTTGTTAAAACCCAGACGGCTGGCCCCGACCCTGGAGTGGCTGATTCAGTGGATCTGGCATAGGGCCCTTCTGAGGAGTTCCCTGCTGATGCTCATGCATCAGGTCTGGGGATCCCACTTTGAGAACCACTGATATTGAAGACTTGAACCCCTACCCAGCTGGGTCTGACCTCAGAGCCCTCATGAGGTCCCGGGAGAGACTCAAGCCAGCTTCTTCTTGTGTAGGATCCCTAGGACCTAATGACCACCTCTAGAGATGGGGCTGGGCTTGTTAGAACACTGTACACCTGAGTCAAATTTCACAGTGACCTGCAGACAGAAGACCTGGTACACTGTGTGGAGACCTTCGGTGTGAACAATGACTTCCACCCGGTCCTGCCTACCCGTAACATACACACTCACTTGCTGTACCCAGGAATTAAATTACTGCCTGATCTTATCCCTCACTGTGCTAAACAATGTCCAATAAAATCCTTTTAAGTCCTTTTAAGGAATTCCCTCTTTGCAGTTCCTCCCTCCCTTAGAGCCTTCCAGATTTTTCACTCTTCTCCTCATATCTTCATTTTCCTCTTGAAAAGCATCCTTCCCCAAGCTGTTGTGTGGAAAGAGATGTTGATGATGCCCGTGGAAGCTTCCTGAGAAGATGGGAACCGTCAATGCGTGCTGGGCACCTATGAGGTGCCAGGTGGTTGCTGGGTGATTTGAAGACATCAGAGGCATAACTGGGCCAGGAGGTGGACTCTGGCACGCAGACCTGTTCTATTTGTCCCTACTGAGTTAAAATTTTTAAAAATTAATTGAAAATTAGTTGCTGACCTTTAAAAACTGGGAGATTTCACATACAATTTTTTCTTTTGAAACACTGTGAGATCTGGTCAACATCCTTTACCCATGCAGTGTGCTGGCGCTGGGCAGTGGCTTCTGCTCCCTGCGGTGTGCCCCTCTACCCACATCATGCCTTCTCGGTTACTGCCAGGCCCCAGGAAGCAAGAGTTGGTGACTTTTCATCTTGGCAGATGGTCTAGGGTTGCGCGGTAAATGGCAGAGTCAAATCCGAACCCAGGACTGCCTGACCCAAAGGCCCAAGCTTGTCACTGAAATAAAAACTGCTGTTAATTTTTTGGTCAGGAGGAGAATGTGACATTGCTGGCCCTGAGGAAATACCTTAAAAGGGAGTTACTGTCAGCAGTTTAAGAATATGCCTTCCTTCCCATTCATAACCAGCTGTCAGTAAGCCATAAAGTTCTGGGCTGTTTTTTCCAGGGCAGGAAAAGTTATCCAGAGCTGTCCATTTTTTTTTTTTTTTTAAACCCATCTCCTCCTTGAGGTGAAAAGGCTTGGATTTGGTTGGAGTTGGGAGGAATCTGTTGAGAGTGGTGGGTGGGGTGCGATTTTCTTGGTTTGGAGTTAGCTCTTCGGACAGGGGATCCCACTGGGTGTCTGTGGGGTACAGGCTGGTCTTTGAGTCAAAGCAGGGATTGGGATGGGGGCATTCTCCTGCTCTCTCTCCACAGTCACTCTGCCCCAGGCACTTCCCCTTTCTGTTCCTCTGATTCCCCAAATCCCTTCACCTGCCCACAGATTTCCATATAGGCACTTCCTGCAGGTCTCAGCCCTTGGGATTGCTGGTCTGGGCTGGGGTTAGGTTGCAGTAGGTGAGGTTGAGGCATGCAAGGGCGTGGCTTCATTGAAGTCTTTCTTTGACAATGTGATATTTTGCTTCTTGTGGATTTTTGTGGACTAATTTTGATTTTTAAAAACATTGTTTCAAAATGTTATTTATCTTGATGACTGAGCTTTTGGGCGCCCCCTTACTTTTTTTTTTTTTTCTTTCTTGAGATGGAGTTTCGCTCTTGTCACCCAGGCTGAAGTGCAGTGGCACAATCTCGGCTCACTGCAACCTCTGCCTCCCGGGTTCGAGCGATTCTCCTGCCTCAGCCTCCCAAGTAGCTGGGATTACAGGCACCTTGCCACCTCACCCGGCTAATTTTTCTATTTTTAGTAGAGACAGGGTTTGACCATGTTGGCCAGGCTGGTCTTAAACTCCTGACCTTAGGTGATCTGCCCTGTTCAGCCTCCCAAAATGCTGGGATTACAGGTGTGAGCCACCACATCTGGCTCCCTCTTACATTTTGCACCCTGCCTGCCTCATCCCAGCTCCAGCCCTGCTCCTAGTCCAGGGTTCTTTGGCAAGAACCCTGGGCTGAGAGTCAGGAGACCTGGGTTCTGGTCCA